CTCTGACCTGGGCTGGGAAGATTGACCAAGTGTACAACTTTGTACTAAACAACAGAAGGGTCTTTGAACGTTGAATCAGTTAAACCAAGCCCATGGCTTGCAAGTGCTGGTGCCAATCTTCAAGTCTCCTCCCCGGTTGGGCATCACCACTATACCCACAAAGGTTCTGCAGAAATGATGGCTGAGGGTTGTCAACTGCTGGAGTGCGAAGTGCAACTTGTCCATCGACAGAACACCTTGGGTTGTCAAGTTGAACACCCCGATGATACACTCGTTGTCTAGGCGGCGAAGCCCATTGTTGAAGCCAGATAGGCACTCTCCAGCCATGGCTGGAGCCTGGCTTCCATCACACCAGTGCTGTCTGTGGTGTCCTCAGGACCTAAGGGTGTTTGCCAGCCAACAAGTTTCACAGTGTTTCACTTTTCCAGAACCTAATCCCGCCATTTAGTTATTGTCTAGTACAAACCAAAAGTTGTCGCTATGCAAAGATGAAGGTGGCCTGACGTTGAAAGCTTCTTGTTCTGCACAGCAATGCACCAAGTAGGACAGTAATCTGTCATCATTGCGTTGACCAGTCTCCAGGCAACGTTGTGCATTTTCTGACAGGGTGTTTTTTTGGAAAAACCATGGGGAACCCAAAACATGAACTCAGACATTGACAAGTGCCTAGGCTGCCTTGAATCTTCTGTGGCACTGTGGCATATATAATTTTGTAGTGTTGCCTATTATATAAATTTGGTCCCAACGTGTTTTTAGCAATGTGCAGTCCTCCAAGCTGGCAACAACTGCAGCACGTGCTTTCGCTTCATCCCCCGAAGATGTTTGCAAATATCTTCTGTGCTGTAGCTGGTCGTTCTGAAGATTGGTATGGAAGAGGGCAAACCCTGCTTGCAAGGTGGACTGCAGGGCTGAGTTGATCTTCTTCAGGGCTCTCTGAATCTCCTCTTCCTGCACCTCACCCTTCTTCTCAAGGACAAAGGATAGTTTCTGCCAATCCCACCCTGGCTCTGCCGCCTTGGCATGCGCTCGGAGTTCTGCGTCCAAGGTCCTGAGTGGTCCAGGCTGGCGTGGCGGACGGGATTTGATGTCGGGTTCCCTGGCGGACGGGATTTGATGTCCGATACCCTGAGGGACGGACGGAGTTTGATGTCGGGTCTGAGCAGGCGGACGGGATTCTGTACACGCTTTTTTTTAAATCCATGTACGCGCCCATGTCCAGGGAGCACTAGGATGACCGGTGTTGATTTGGAAACCATGTACAAATTCATGTTGGAAAATCATGCTGAATCTTACATGCTTTTTTTTCCACGTATTACAGGCTATGTTTTGGACCCCACGAGATATAATTCCTAACATAAAATCAAGATAAATTTATGACGCCTAGATTTTTTTACCTTTTGGGAGTACATGGAAATTTTAAAAAGCATGTACAAATGGAAGTTGAAATCTAGCTTCCATTTGTACATGGTTTTCCTGGCGGACGGATGTTTATACACGGTTTTGATTTCCATCCTCCGTGATGGGCGGGAAGTTGTGCTCGGTTCTATCTTGGGTGACTAAAAGTAAAGGAAAGTAAAAGCTTACTAATTGATAGGGGAAAGGAAGGCACCCCTCCATGAACATCTGATGGAGATGGCTATGGGCTGCATCTCCCACATGCCGCCTGATGGACTCAGAGATGGCAACCCACAAGCAGCACACCTCCATCAGGTCCCGCATGGCTGCCAAGCCCAGCTGCGCCAATTTCTCAGGACGTTGCACGGTGAAGAGAGGTAAGGTTTCTAGAACACTTAGACTCTTATCACATCTCCCACACCCACCCAACCAGAGGGTACCATGTAGGTTCAGCTACCTGACTTGTAGGAAAACTGATTTGTTGTGGTCCCTCCTGTCCTTCTGCTTGTAGGGGCAATCAGGTGGAGCCTTCCTCATAAAGTCACCCAAGGCCCGCGTTGACCACAGCTTCGTAGCCAAGGAGGTCACAGTCTGCCAAGGTTTTCCAGGTTACTATACAATTATTCTATTTTGTTTGTTTGACAACGTGACAGCTGCGGCGGCAAGGCCTTGGTTTGACGCCACCAATCATCGAGCACAGCCTGCCCACCAAGGCTGCATCCAGGCACAAAGTAGTCGTCGGCCAGGTTGTCCATTGTGAAAGCTGACAGCAGTCGGGCAGTTAATGTGACAATGGGAAAGCTTGGCAATGACTCTTCAATGAACCGTTTTGATTCCAGTTGATTTCAATGAACTGTGTTGATTCCCTGCCTCCGTGCTCCCATTTGTAGTGGTCCCCAGATTCTTTGAGCAATGCCAGAAATTCTTCTGGGCATCGCAGAACTGCATAGATAACCTTCTTGAGGTCTTCTTTGATTCGAAACGCCTATGCCAGAACGGTGCATTATGCAGAACTCTTTCCAACTCATTCCAGTTCAATTTGTTGATCCAAATACTGCAACAATAAAGAAACAAAGAAACATATCGAATCCTTCCTTGTTCACAGTGCCCCTATTGTAGTCAGCGATCACATTGGAAAGAAGATCCCGAACTGCAGCCCGCTTGGTGGATAGGCGCTTGACTCGCACCGCTTCCTCAAGAATGCAAGGACTGCAGCTGGGCACAATTTGCGCCTTGAATGTTATCAAGAAGTCTACTGTATCTTGAAAAAGTATCCAGATGCCTTGAAGAACAGGGTGAGCTCGAGCGGGCCAGGTTTCTGCTTTTCAGCAGTTCTATTTGCCAAGCCTGCAACAATAACACTTTGTGGTAAAGGGGCATTACACTGGACATGGTTCTGACCATCTAAGGGTGGCACTCAAAGCTTCATACATGCACTGCTCTGGGGAGGAAAAATGGGTGTAGTTGACCCTGATGTATTTCAAGCTGGCAATCAGCTCGCACATTTCCTTGTCCGCAATGATGTCTTCATGCTTCAGTCCCTTAGGCCAGGCTTGCTTCTATTTTTTCAATGTCTAAACAATATGTTCAGTGTTGGTTGCCAATCATTCAATTGAAATGCAACATGAACTGAAAGTGTCCAAGTATCCAGGTGCTCCAGAAGGGCAAAAATTGCCAAAACCATGATGGCTTTTGCATGTCCATCAATGTACTGGATTGAAAACCTTGGGATTTCCTGTCCTGTGCCAAAGAGGTGCTCAGGAAACTTGATTTCCAAGGGCTCACATTCAGTTTCAAAACCACGCTGGACAATAGACGGGAAGTGTGCCCTTATGGCCACATTGGATGGCCACTTCCCATTGTGGCCATACTTGGCGGTCTCAGACATGTCCAGCATCCATGGGTGTACATACATCCCCTTGCGAGTAGTAACAGGGACACGCTGCAAGACTTGAAGCGAAGAACCGGTGGTTTCCTTGCCAATAAGATCTGCAATCTCTGGCAAAGCAAATAGATCCATCATGACCTTCCATGGGTTCAGGAGTCTAAGTCAAGTTCAGCTGTTAAGTTCAGGAGCCTAAGTGGACTGAAACAATGAGAGCTTTTAGGTTTCCATTGCTTACTGCTTGCAACTACTGTCAAGCCCAGCCTTGGCAAAGTGACGTTTGGTATCATCATCACAGTTGTATTTGTCGTTGATAAACTTCCCGATGTTTTTGTTCATCAGTCACCTGATCATGTATTGGAATATAATTGGATCATATCAGTCATGAGAACCATATAAAGACTGAAAGCCAACCTGGCCTGCTCCATGGCCAGGATCAGCCGAGTCTTCAGCGGCGCTAGAGTCGGAGCCTTGTCTTCGCAGTCGCTCTCAGTCTGACGCCATTCCATTTCCTCCTGGCAGCGCAGTCTTGAACACTTCAACCCTGGTTCACCTGGTCAACATACTAAATGCCAAGTAGGTCGAGCATGGTCGAGCCTTCACCTCAGGTTCAGAGTGTGAACGGCACTGGCAGCATCTCAAGAACTTTCTGAACTCCTGAGTTGTCAACTTGATGGCCCACAAATGGTCAAGATGAAAGCGGTTGGTTCCTGTCTATTCACTTGGCCATTCTGCTAGCTAAGCTTCCATGGCCACCACGCTGAATCATGTCATACCCCCATCCCTCAAGATGCTGCTTGTGCTTGCGTAGAATCTTAGCCGATGGTAACACCTGCTCATGCCTTGGGCAAAAAAAGGTGAACGCATTGCACTGGGCTCCAGTGGGATGGCTAGTTTAGAAGAACCTGAGTCAGCCGAGTGCATCTAGGGAACAAAGTCTTCTTCGCAACGCAGTAGTTTTCCATTCCTTCAGCTACAGATTCCTCATCAGAGTAGGTGTCATCATAGCTATCATCATAGCTATCTGAACAGCTATCAGAATAGCTGCCATGGCTTTCATCTTCCGATGTCTCCGACGAATATGATGACATGGGGGCCTTTGAGCATCCAGTGCTACGGGTAGGTCCGGGCGCAAAGTCTGAGTCCCACTTGCTAGTGGGCAGAGTTTCACTTGAGATGGGATGCACTTATATATATATATATAACTTATATTATTGATATTCTTGTTCTGTGAGGCACTTCAAACTCAAACGCTGGACTTCTGTATGTCAGTCACGACTGCTTTTCATTGCATGATATATCTGATCTTTGGTACAGCGCGATCACCCACTCATGTTGCTTCAACGTATTATTCCCACGTTGAACAAACGAGTCAACCAAAAACTCATGTTGAAGGTCTGAAGGACGCCTTGCACATCCTTGCCCCAAACCCTCGTTGCAATAACAAGACAGCCCAGCTGTTGAGGAATTGAACACTCGAACAATTTCGGATGATTTTCTCGATGCTTTAAGGGCCAATGTATCCCAGGATTTTCGGTCACAAACAGGTGTGTTAGAGGCCACTTAGAGACTCCCAAGAGGTCACGAACTGAAGGTCCTGGTAGATTAGCTAATTAGGATAGTAACTGTTCCAGTCCCATGAATTGTTGGGGACATGAGGGGCTAGCGGCTGCCACATCGGGTGAATTCAGTCCTGCATCCGCCAGTGCCACCGAGGCGCCCTTTCCAAGCTTGCTGTCCGGTCAGGATTTCAAAGTAAATGACCGCGAAGGCGTACACCTGTTGACCGCGAAGGCGTACAATGTGAAGAGTCCCAAGACCCCAAGGGAAATCATCTTGTCTCCTGTCATGCAAGGGAATTGGGATATGAATTACACCTGGAACCCCAAAATACCCCAAACGATGACTGGATTTTGGTAGGTGTTCCAGGCTCCAGGTATGTCAAAGGTCCCTCCATGATCCCATGGACTGTTGGGTGGTCCGCAAAGCCACACGAATGCTTCAGCTCGCGCCAGCCTCGGATGCCATCTGAAACTTCTCCTCGAACATCTCAGGCGCTTTGTAGGCCAAGGCGCCCTTGCCACCTCCATTCTGATTGAAGCCCACGTCCTCGAGGCAGGAGCGAAGCAGAGCGCCAGCGGCTAGGGTGAGAACGGGTGCAAGAAGTCACAGTGCTTCTTTGGATGGACCAAGAGAGGTTAAGTGACCTTATGGACCTGTCACCTGGGGTACCTATGGGATAGTCGAACGTTCGGGTCCTTTAACCTCTGTTGGGACTTCATCCACTTTGACCGCTTTGTCATGTCCAGCATCCATGAATGCGGACGAGCTCATTGGCCCATCAGCCCCGGACCAGCCCGTCGAAGATGGCGAAATAGCCAGGCCCCAAAAGGAGCTAAGAGCGATCTCCGGCCCAGTTTTAGTCTTTGGTCTGATCTCCCCATCCTCACCAGCGAAATAGCCAGATCCTGTGAGGATCTAAGGATCTAAGACCTTCTAGTTTTCGGTCTCCGCGCGCCGCGTTTTCCGTCTTTGGGTCTCCGGATGCCGGTTGGATCCAGGTTTCCTTCTTCGCGCCCCCCCCCGAGGATCTAAGACCTTCTGCCCCAAGCGTGTTCACTGTGCGCATCCCAACGTGTGCAGCAAAAAAGGCACCGTGGAGGGCCAAGCAGCAGTGCGGGAGCAGGGGAGCAAGCACGGTTGAACAACAGCGTTAGCATGGGGAAACCAATCCCCCAAAAAGGTCTGCATGTTATCCACCGTCTAGTCCACTGTCTGTGTAGGGTAAGGAACACCAGCGAAGCGAATAGAGCGATACAGTGAGCTTGTGCATCGCGTTTATCGTGTTTCACCTTCTGAAATGGCTGCCTATAGTACGTGCGACAAACAAAAACTCTTGACCCAAAATGTCCTCCTACATCTATTCATATCTATCCCATGCACTCCATGTATGCCATATATATGCCTATACATTGACCCCCCAAAGTACCCCAACTGATCGGCATATATGGCAGTCCCATGGAGCGTCTGGGTATTCTACATCTCTTCTTCAGGTCTGAAGGTCGAATGCATGATGTTCTTCAGCATCGATTGGATAAACACATCGCCATCGAATGGATATGCAACTTAAAGACATGCAGAATCCGCAGATGAACACGGAAGTGGACAATTCCCTGTTGGTACACGAGAGCAGTCTTCCCACAGGCTATCTGTTCCACTTCCATGTGGGTGAGTCAGGCTTGTCATTCATGCTGGCCTCTTAGCGTACTACACTGATGCATGCCTTTCAAGTCCTGATTGGAAGGGAAGGGCTGCCACAGAAATGACTCAGGTCATGGCCATCGGATGAGGGATCGCCCAACTAACAGTCCAGCACACATCATCGACATGTAGGCCTTCCTCCCCAGCACTCCATCTTTCAAAAACCAAGGGCGACCAGTGGGATGTGTCGGCCGGCGACTTAGTGACCCTCTTGTGCTTCAGGTGGGATGCACCCTCTGAGGGACAGGAAGTTCCAGTCTCCAACCTGCAGCACTCCCACCTGCAGCTTTGTGCAGTTCGAGAGTCCGTGACCTTGGGGATCAACTTGGAATCGGAGTCGAAGATCAGGACATTCTCCGGTTTGAGATCTTGGTGCAGGATCGGCTCAGCGAGGTCGTGAAGATACCTCGGCACTCCAGGTCGTCTTGACAGAGTCCTCATTGCGAGGAATGTGTCAAACATGTTTCCCAGTGACGACCGCAGGAAACCCGTGACTGGCCTCAACGCTGCACTTCGAGGCCGACGACGATGCTGACCATGTGGACCGAAATCCACCAGAATCGGGCTGCAGGGTACTCAGATGTGCTGAGAATCGTGTTTAATTCGGACGGCCGCAGCTCTCAGCTGAGCTGCATCATGGCAGAAGCAATCCCCAGTGCTAGGGGCAAATGCTCCCGCTGTGCCAGGGACGGTTCCTGTTGTAGAAGGCGTCTCAAGCACCTGAGGTTCTTGCCAAATCGGTCCACACACATTGCAAGGGGGGACATGCATCCATTGGGTCTATCCTATTACCTGGGCCCAGTGGATGATGGTTAGGTACCAGGCCTTGTCCAACAGTAGTGATGTTCTTGCTTGTTTACTGACTGTTACAGGTCACATGCATCCAAGCCTAAGAGGTCAACGATCCTTGGATCCCCATGGAGGCACGGTGAGGAAGGAGACGACTTATGTAGGCGCTAGGGTAGGGCACAGTCACACCGAACCTGAAAAGGTGTGGCAGTGGATACACAAACCAAAACTTCTCAGGATGGTCGGTATGGATTTTCTTCGGATGGTTGGTTTCCCCAAATGGTCGGCATTATGGTGTTCAGCTGCTGAGCTGCTGAACTTCCGTTCGAACAGGTGCTTTCAACATGGTTTCAAGCCATCTGAACAATACAAATCATTGGGATCGGTCATCCCCGGTACAGGTCAAACACGTACAGAACAGGAACCACACAACCACAGAATGCCGCACCAATTCCTAATGAATGCCGCCGCCACGTGGTCTAGTGGGAGATACCCATCAAACCATTCAAGCTACAAATTGCTGTTGAAGGGGAACTCCTACACCCTGATTGATATGTTCTCACCTTTTGCAGGGGCGTCTCCATGCTGAAGTTGAGGTATGTTCAGATTTCAGAGATCAGCAGCATGCAGCCGCCTTTCCACCAGTTCTTGCCCACAGCACGTAAATCCATCAAACAAAATCACGGAGCAGCAATCTTAGTGGAAGGGACAAGCCACCAACAAGGCCTGGTGGATTTAATTGTAACATGTTTTAACTATTTAACTCTTTAACTCAATGCAGTCTGTCAGGAGGTGGTCTCTCATATATTGCGCGGTGATTGAGATTCATCAAGGGAAACTGATAAAGATTAAACACAAACTCCCAACACCCGCCCCTCTCACACCTGCGTTCTGTCGCGCCTGGGGGCTGGCTCCACGGCAACACACATCACGGTATTTTTAAACCTCGGATTGGCCAACCCGGAGCCTAGTCAAACTACACATGTACAAGCATTAAACGCACATGATAAAACGTGATAAGGCAAAACTCTATGGAGCTGGGATGTGGGTGATGGAGGGCCCAAACCTGAATTCAGGAAGTGTTTGCTGGAGATCAAACCTGTGGCTTGCCTGTCAATGAGGCTTCGGAGCAAAATCTCAGCATTCTTCGGTTGGCTGATAGACCTTCGTGAAGTCGAATTGTGTTGAACGTTTGCGAGGGTATTCCTAAGTCAATTGAGCCTTGAAGATGCCAAAGAAATTGGGGTTTGCAGATCGTGTCGGGCCATATTGAATTGGCCCTAAACTTGGAAAATCGAAGTCTTCCAGCAAAGACTTAAACTGGGAATGAAAGACTTAAAAAGAGTCACTGTATTTGACCTTTCCTGGAACCTATATGTCATGTTGAAGTGATCTGAACATCATCAAACAAAGCTTCAACCCATGTTTTCGCATGTGCATGTACATAGTCTCAAATCGTCAAGCCGTTTTCCAATCCTTTCACCGGGCACCCAGCCAATCTGTTCATCCTTTGTGTGGACTTTTTTCGTGGACAGCGCTGTGAAAAACATGTTTCAAGTGGATTCTCAGGGGTGGTGGTGTCCATGACCTTTTTAAGTCTTTCCACGACTTTTTAAAGTCGTTCCATGCCTTTTTCAAGTCGTTCCACGGTTTGTCCATGGTCAGTCCACTGTTCATTTGGTCCGAATGGGCAAGAAGATCCGCACGCGTCACGGACACAAACATGCGATCAATATAAATCCAGTATGTGCAGTAGCAATTAAACAAACTTTTGACAACAACTGTGTTGAACTTATTTAACCGTAATTATGCTCCATGCACTATTGATTCCTGGCTTTCAGACCCCGTGCTACCATCCAAAGGGGATCGTGTCGCGGTATGTCTAAACAGTATACTTTTAAGTCGAGGCTGCAAATCTAAGTCGAACTTAAGCATCTTGGACGGATAGGGTTGGAGCTGGCCAAACGTTCGTAGCCGCCCCGTTTTCGTGGGCTGAGAGCGCCAGGAGACCAATAGAGCCCCAAGATCTTCGCGAGATTTGGATGTTTCAGCTCCTGCCGTTCGGATGCTGTGGTCTCAACCATGACTTGCAATGACTTGTGGGGAGCGCCTGCAACAGGGAGGTTGGAACAGGGCATCTTCAAAGCAACCAACCGCATTGTCAAGAACCCAAATGACACCTGAAGAACATTGCCTCAAAGAAATGGTTGTGTCTGTGGCTCTGACAGGCCCACCAAGTCGTCCCTGGATTTCAAGCCTCTTTTTAATGTTGAATAACTAAATTTGCCTTTTGCAGCTTCAGGGTAAGACGGTTTCATCCATGGCGAGGTGGTCAACTTTTTGTTCTTCCTGCGCTGGGAACACAAAAAATGAGTTCCAGTGCTGTGGTTAAATGAATGCTTGCGTCTGATAGGCTACAACCTGGAAATCTTACCTCAGCCGCAAATAGCACCCACTAGTCCTATGATTAGACTCGATCTTGAGACATCTTTGACGCTGAACAAGTTTCATCATATCCTGATTGTGAGAATGGTATCCATGCTGACAGTGAGCTGCGGCAGCCCCCAACACAGTAAAGCAAGATGCTGGAGTCTGTGGTTCCATGGTAGTGCCCCAAAAAATACTCTGACTGCTCATGATGCTGAAGGTTTGGAACTCTCATGGTGAAACATCACAACTAAGCCTGTCCTTCTTCATCCACAGCAAGCGTTCTTTCTTCTTCTCCTTCTCATCTTGGGGCAACTGCATGGCCTTGACCACCGCCCGCACCTCAGGCACAGGTATTACCGGGGCACAGCTTGCAATCACACCACAAGCAGCAATACGGTGCCTGCAGCCTGGCCACCCGCAACGCCGCAAGAGTTTACGACCCAGTCCGTAGAGTACTGAAGAGTTCACGTGTTTTGCGGAAACAACATCTCTATGGAATGAGAGGTCAAAACTTGGCTGCATAAAATGCTAATAAAACCACACATATGTCACACAAGCACGAACGACTGAACCCGGGTGATTAAAGGCACACACACACACAGCAAATCCGATGGTCTCCAACTTCGCCGCCTCGCCATGCTCCAACTTCACCGTGGCCCGGCTGACCCAGCTGGAGTAGTTGGAGATCTCCTCTTTGGAGTTGCTGGACGGGTCAGGAAGCTGGGGGATTTACAATCCAAGGGGAGATACATGTTCCACTCCCCTTCCATATGGACAAATTGTAAGCTGCATGTTTGAGGTGAACAGGCTAGGAAAGATGTATCTTACATGTTTGCACGGTCCCGCACCCTTCATGGTGGCTGCAGCATTTGCAATGTATTGTGCAATCCTCTAAAGGCAAAGAAAGGTGCAACAAAAAAGATGCAAGAAATCCACGAAGGTTTTTTTTTTTTATCTCTGGCCCGTGGAGTCGGAGGTGTGGAAACCACAAAGGAGAGAAAACCAAAAGAAACACCAAACTTTACTTGTTTGGTGTGTGTGTGTGTATGCGTGTTTCTTTCTATAGGTTATTGTTTTTGTTGATGCCATGGAGATCCATGGAGAATCATGGAGATATATGCTTCTAGTTCCTGCCTATGCTTTTTTGGACAATCCTCGACCTGGTCAAACATATCTAACTTCGACACCCTCGACGGTGCCTGCAAGGAGCCAAACGCAGGGCAACACAAAAGCACAGGGCAAACCACAAAGGAGAAGAAACAGAAACATACAATTTGTGTGCGTTTGTTTTGTGTTATATAGCTAGATAGGGGGTGGCGATGATTTACATGACTTAACCCAGTGTGGCTCAAGTAAAGACACATCAAACTGGCCTGGGCTGTCTGACCCTTTAGGCATCCACCGGCGCCACTGCCAGATGCCACCTTAAAGGATCCTGAATCCAGATGGCCCATACTAACATTGTACCATACCAACATTGTAGCTTAAAGATGTCAGCCCTCTGCCAGCACATACTGGGCACACACAGTCAGAACTGTGCACATACCTCCTTGGAACCCTGCAAAAGAAGGAATATGACCAGGAAACTATTCAAAAATTGTTGGTTCTCAGTTCTCACAACTTTTTGAACACTTTTTGTTTTTCAACATTTCCTTCAAACAGACTCCAAACATCAATGGAAAGAAAGGACATGAAGGAATATGACCAGCAACATAACTAAGAATTAACAATTAAACATTCACTACTTTTGGTACTAGACCAGGTGGCGAGGTGGGGGGGCGGGTCAGAGTCACACCGGGCCAAGACATCGTCACCGGTCTGTGACGTCGACTCTCGGTCCTGGAACCGGTCCCTACCAGAGACAGGGGGAGAATGGGGGGAAGAAGGATGGCATTTCCAACATCAAAAGCTTCAAAAGCTTTGAGGGAAAGATAGGGAAAGCTGACGTAAAGAGTGATCATCTGTGATCATTGAACATTGTGTTGTTATATGTTGTTGTGACATTGTGACATGCTCAGCTTGGAAAAAGGCATTGCCATTGGATGCCATTGGCATTGATCTCCAGGCTGAAGGATGCGAGCGTGTGGCTTACAAAACGAAAACAATTGCAACAAGTGTGCCTCTAAAGAATCACACTCCACTGCCACCGTAAAACAAAACGGCAAGTGAACTTCATCTACTAAAGAATTGCCTGTTTCTGGAACACCCGAGCTCTCTGATTCTCTAGGGAAAATTGCTAGGAGGATAGCAGAACCAGGTCTCCTCCGTGAGCTTCACGGACTCCGGAGACATGTCGAAGACCCGCAGGAATGCCGCAGCCGTTCGGGGGGATCCACTCGGCAAGGCGCCTGGACCTGCGTGCGGGGCCTCCGGAGCTGAAAGCGCCAGGCCCACCGTCTCCAATTTGCCCTTGACGGAGCTCAGGTCTGCACCGCAGTTGGAATCGCCCCACGCGACGCAGCGGCCGCTCTTCAAAACGACCAGGAAGGCATAGTTCGTGCCGAAGGCCTCGCGGATCCCCTCGCGTTCCAAGGAGCTGTGCAAGTCGCCTGGGATCTTGGCACCATCGGGTCCGAGTCCCCAGGCCACCACGGAGCCGTTCGTCAACTCCGCCAGGAATGCAAAGCCGGTGCTCCATGCGCGGGCGACTCCGTGGGCGGCCAGGGCTTCTTTCGTCCCCCTGACAGGCGCACCGCCACGATCTTTGTCGCCCCAGCACAGGATTTCGCCGGTCTTCAGCTGCGCCAAAAAGGCGAAACCAGTGCTCCACACGCGTCGAACTCCCGTGTCTTCCAGCCGATCTTTCACTCCGCCGAGGTCGGCGCCACTGTTGGTGCTTCCCCACGAGATCACTTCTCCGCTGTTCAGTTGCGCGACGACGGCGCCAGCGCGAGTCGTCCAAATGTCGCGGAGGCCTTTGGTTCGCATCGCTGCTTGGGCGTCGGAGGGGATTTGGGACCCGTGGGAGGAACCGCCCCAGGCGACCACTCGGCCACTCTTCAGTTCCACGATGAAGGCACCGGCTGTGGTCCAGGCGCGCTGAATCCCTTCGGCTTCCAGGGCCTCCCGCATCGAGGTGGCGACCTCGCCGCCGAAACCTGCCACGCCCCATGTGAGCACCTTGCCGCTCGGCAACTCTGCCAGGAAAGCGCCAGAGGTGCTCCAAATCTGCACGACGCCCTCGCGTTCCAGCGTGGCCTTCACCGTGCCGATGTCGGCACCGTAGTCCTTGTTTCCCCAGGCGTGAAACTCCCCGTTCTGCAGCTCCACCAAAAAGCCACCATCCCACGTAGACCAAGCCCGTTTCAGGCCGTGTTTCTGCCCGGAGGCCTTGATGTCGGCGGGGATCTGGGCGCCACATTTTGACCTTCCCCAGGCCTCCAGGCTTCCGTCCCTCAGCTGAGCCAAAAAGGCAACGTAGGTGCTCCAGACTCCTCCGGAGGCCATGGCCACAAGGGCGGACAGGGGTGCCGGAAGCGCCCAAGGATGAAAAAAGGGTGCGCCTGGCCTGTCTACCATGAAAACTCCACACGTAAGAACTGTTGTTTATGAAGTTGTCCATGGTCCATACTTACCAAGTTATTCAAACTCTATATGAATAATGCTGCATCATGCTTGTAAGATCTTGTAAGTGTCACCTTGGCGGTGGGACGGTGCTTGTGTCATTTAGGCCAAAGACTGACCGCAAAGGCCTTGCCGATGCGAAACGGCCGAAAAGGAGACACACAGTTACTGGAACATGCTCAGCTGTCAGTGGTCATTCAAACTGTACAAATCGCGGTTGGTTCCACGTTTTGCACTCAGCAAATCCATGATGTTGCTCATTACTTACACCTACTATAATGCATCATGCCGGAATGTATGTCATCATCGTTTCACCCATTTGACCTGCATTCGCTCAGAGTTCGAAGTCCACTTGGTCCACTTGATCGACCAACTCTCTCACCATCGGATCAACTGCCTGACACAAAGCGATCCGCCAACCTTGGTAGGATCAGCTGACCATCGAGATCTGCAGAAGTTCATGTCATGTGCGTTGTGACTAAGTCTAGAAACACATCGCGAAGAACATTCGACTCCCGGACAGCTCAAGCCCAAAAGGACACTTCTGTTCCAAGACCTCTTTCCACACGTGTTTGTCTTATTCTTTGGGGTGGTGCTTTGTTTCAGTGCCTGGATTCACCGGTTCTCGCCGCTTCATCCCCGGGTCCGCTCGGCCAGGGTCCGAAGGCTCGGCAGAAGATCTTCTTGGCCAACCGGCAACTTGTCGTGGAAGCCGGTTTAGAGAGTTTTTCACGTGGGAATCTTGAAGAACAAACACATAAACTGTAGGGATTGTTGAAAACACTGATTTTTTCCACCCATCCTAAAGATCGATCTCCATGAAGTACCATTTTGGATGCCCAAAGGCATCCACGATGCGTCACCCACATAGAAATGGCTTCTCTCAGCTCTAAGACTGATTTTGGCTTGTTGGATCGGCCCCCCCCTCGGCCTAAGCACGCTGAGCTGGCGAAGGATATGCTGCTACCTGCTACTCCTGATAGTCCTTAGATGTCCTTGGTCCTTCTAACTCTACCAATCCGTCTCATGATCGCGAAGATTTCGCGTCATTCGCTTCACATCGGTTCATCCTCGCCCCAGGCGACCCTGAGTGCCTGACATGGCGCCACCACGAGAAGAAACAGTGAAGAGAGCCCAACCTCAGCAGGATTTTGTTCAAATAATTTCCATGCAAAAAAAGAACCTACCCCTTGTGAAGCGGAGCCAGTTGGGCACAATTCCAAGGGTCCCCAATGTTGAAGACCTTTTCAACACCTTTCCAAGACCCACATCTACCCCCTAAGTCTCCAAATGTCCGGGTTTCAGGACTGTCTCCTTCCTAAGTCTCCAGTCTCCAGATGTCCTAAGAGCCCCTACAGTCTGAGATCCACCCCAAGCACTACAATCCCCCTGAGAACACGGACCGGCAAAAACCGTGACTGGAAGTGGTCGTACTTGGCAGGTGGAACTTGTTCTGCCAAGGAATCAAAGATCCCAGTTACCCCAGAAGAGTTTCTACCCATTGAGGAGCCAAGCGCAATGCTTGGGCTCTGACTTTCTTCCTAGGGCCCATGTTGACCTCTTTCTTTCTTTCTTTCTTGCAAGGATAAGACATTTCTTGGGTGGTGGGTGAAATAGAGGTCACCCAGGGCTCTAGATTTATCTTGTAATTCCAACAGATTCTTATGTGCTGTGGGCGCTTGGACAGCGTCTGATCTTCTCCGAGCGAAGCTTGACCAAGTACACTTGGAGGCCAAAATTATGCCCGAACAAGCGAGACCTTTGGAATGTCGGGCCCCCCTATGATGCAATTAGCTATACACACCCTTGTAAGTACATGGACGATCATACCGGTACGAGTACCACACACTTCATCCTACGAAACTCCTGAGCTGCAGGAACTGTTTGATCTCTCTCCTCCGAAACCACCCGAATGAATTACCGGCCGCACCACACCGCTGTGGGCTAGGACTAGGAACGCCAACCCGACCAAAACATCACCTGATCGAACAAATAAGTATTCCAACAAAGGATGAATGACCCTATAGACTATCCCGGTACCCCAGGTTACGGGTCCTATTTACGGTCTATAACCTGTCTTTATAGAAAGATCCACCCATTGGCGAAGGTCTAGCGGACACCCAGTTGGACCACCGAGTCGGAGGCGACTCGGCCGAGTCTGGACTGGTGACCCCGAGTTGAACACGCGTCCGTATGATCGGTCATGCATGGCCCACGTAGTCGGTCCACTGGACCTTTGTCATCCATCTTATTCTTACCCCATCTTCTCCTGCCAAGAAGGACCTTCCTCTGAGGTCGCCACGAAGAACACCAACACCTGCACTAGTGAAATCCATTGAAATCCAAGGCTTTTGGCTTAGATGTAGCCCTGGTAGGGCTAAAGAGCACTTCTGCAGCTAGTGTTGTATAGCTAGACCGTGTTTTTCATTGTCGCTCGCTCGCTCGCTCGCTCTCTCTCTCTCTCTCTCCCCTCTCCTGTCTTCAAATATCTTCGAGCATTTGTCGGCCCTCTGTTGCCAGGAGTTTTAGCAGCACCTATTGCTCATTTTCCTATGCACCTATAGCCTATGCCCCTATGACATCATCATCATGGAGGATTCAAGGATGTTTGACATACCTGCCGCCGGACACCTCCAATCACCCGATCACGGCCGATGTGATGGGGTATAGATAAAGTCTGATTTCGGTGAGACCAAATCCGATGGAAGTCTCCCCAGGACTTCTTAGTGGCTAACAAGATATAAACCCTCCAAAAAGGTAGTTAGAAGTTGTAAAAAAGAAGGATGAGAACCCAGACTTGGTTCAAGGGAACGTCGACGGGTGAAGATCATGGATCTCCCCACTATAGATAGTTCGCTTAAAATCAGTTCTTGGAGAGGGGACACATTAATTATTTTCCAGGACCCCCGTCGAAGTTCAAAGACTATGAGGGCATCGCCAAAGTGTTCAGGAACTCCTAGAAGTCAGGTAATTCCGGTCCGACCGCTTTAAGCACTCAGAGGATCCGGTCTTTGTTCTGCCTGATTTCTTGGACCGACCAACCAACGCCGAACCCTACAATGTCTCGCTTGAGCAGCTCGAGCAAGTCTGGATCATATCTCGTGCGTACATGTCTTGATCGGTGAAAGAGAATCAATGTTCCATATCATATCCGCACCCTGGGAAGCCTGGGAAGCAAAGGCAGCCAGATTCCGCGCTCCTTTGGAGCTACTCATCCTGCTTCTGCTCGTGTGTTGGCATGCCAATTCCATTGCCAGCATAGCCCGGCGTTGCGCCAGCGGTTGGCTTGGTCAATTTGACGATGCGCGTTGGTCCGTGTTGGTGAGAAATCTCAGGTCCCAGAAGTCAAGGTCAGCAGTCATGTAGGCGGTCCTCTGCGGACGGCTTAACTGAAGTGAAGGCTAACCTCATGAAGGCTATTTATGATGCACCAAATGTAGTAGAATATAATCTTAAATGAAAAACCGCACAAGGGTGTCTCTGAAACACGTTCAAAGAACGCTTTTAAACACGCTGAATGCGGGTACCAAGCTCCAAGCACGTGTTTATGTCCAAAGCGGGGGTCTGAAAACCCGAGTGCCTCAACAAAGGGTCGTCTTCCACATCCTTCTGAAAAGGGACCACTGCAAATCACTGCAAACCTTAAAAGTCACCCCCATCATGTAGTCTGTTGGCTGCACTCGTAAAGTTGCCATCACCCCATGTGACTGCAAGTAGTCATGTCGTCACCGTCGTCACCCCATCATGTAAATGAGTCAGACCCTGCCCCTCCTCTGGTCTCCAGAATGGATGTACCATACCTCCAGCCCTGAGAGGGCTTTGATGAATCCACAAAGCGGTGGATAGAGTTGCCATAACAAAGCCGCGAGTGGAATCCTCCAGGCCCATTTGTTTTCTTCTGTTTCCTTTTTTTCCGTGGACTCCACCACTGGCTCTTGAGGCTGCAGTGCAGCCTTGCATGGGATGTTGTTGGTGATTTGTATATAGGTTTCACAACACCAGTAAGTATA